GGGGGGGAGGGATGCTCTCCTACTGGTGCCCAGGGAAGTGGCCCGCCCATCTCTGAAACTCACAAGGAAGTTGGGAGGTTTTCGTAAGTTCACAGATGATGAGTCTGCATGTTATTATTCTTGGACTAAACGTTACCTTTTTTCCCAGATCCTCTTCCGTCTCCGACACTAAATTGTACACTGATAAATGAGGTCGTCTCCTTCAGTTGCGAGGTGCCTCCGAGTTACCGCCGGCATCGGGAGCTGTTACGCTACGCATGGCGTTGCCTTTCCTCACAGTGTGAGGCAAGCTGGGAGCTCGAGGCCCTCGTGCTAAATTTTACGATGGAGGACGATCTCTCACAGGAAGTCCATTGTTTGGTTGAAAATCCAGAATCCAACAGGTCGTCCTCAATGGTTTTGTCAACCTGCGTCCCAGGTGGTGAGTACACAGCTGCCCCTACCCTGGCAGAGAGGCCACATAGTAACGGTGTTCACGGACCAGTGGTGCTTTGTGGGTTTCAAACTCCAGGGACAGTGGCAAATGTACATTTCACAAATTCAAAATGTAAAGTGAGCTACAATGTTCATGGACACCCATTAGAGATATAAGCGGACACTTTTAGCACTTCCTCTGTCAAACACCACTCCAATACGTGTGTTAATGAATTCGCACACGACCCAGTGAGTTGGGTGCTATAGTAATTATTCCTTTTTATGGGCAGAAACCAAGACGCAGGGAGTTTAAGTTGCCTGCCCCAGGCCAACAGCTAGTAAGTAGAAAAGCCTGGATTTGGAATCAGGTCATCTTGGGTCCAGAGCCCTTGCTCTTAACTGTTTATAATTCTGTTTCTTTTTCTTTTTTCTTTTTTTAAAATATGTTTTTATTGCTTTTTTAGAGAGAGAGAAACCTCGATGAGAGAGAATCATTGATCAGCTGCACACCCCCACTGGGGATTGACACCACAACCCGGGCACATGCCCTGACCAGGAATTGAACTGGTGACCTCTTGGTTTCTGGGCTGACACTCAACCACTGAGCCACACCCACCAGGCTGCTTCATAGCATTCTTCATTACCTTGCCGAAACCGGTTTGGCTCAGTGGATAGAGCGTCGGCCTGCAGACTGAAAGGTCCCAGGTTCGATTCCGGTCAAGGAGGCGGCTGATTGATGTCTCTCTCTCATCGATGTTTCTGACTCTCTATCCTTCTCCCTTCCTCTCTGTAAAAAATCAATAAAATATATTTTTTAAAAAAACATTCTTCATTACCTTTATGTTCTCACACGTGCTACAGGACTCTGCGTCTGACACGTTTGTCTAGTTCAGCGATTTTCCGCCGGTGGGCCGCAGTGATCTTTAGAACATGCAGCACCTGACCACTTCGTCAGGGCGCTGACCTCACTGCCTCAGATTGTCACATAAAACATGGGACTGTTGTGGTTTGCAGGCTTCACACTGCATGAGATGAAAAAGGTTGAAAGTCGGTGGTCTAGCACCCAATCTCATGCCAAGCTGTCTCACTGGTGGTCTCTTTTATGTTAAGTCTTAAGTACATTTGTAAGTGGCCATTTTTTTTAATCTAATTTTTACATTGTATCTTCATTTTACAAACAAAAGGATCAGTGGTTTGAAAGTGGTTCATTAAAACATAAGAGAACAGATGAATTATAGTATTAATTATAATTCAGAATAACGTCATAATTATATATCGTGAGCAGGATTTCCAGGGTAAATAGAGAATATGCGTTTCTTTGGGCTGAGATAGGGTGATTCTGTGAATTAATTTTTTTTTTAACAAGCCAATGAAACAGAAAAGGACAATTAGTAAACCTAATGAATATAAAAACCTTGAATTTTATTTGATGAGTGAGCCATTCTCCTTAGCCTCCAGTGTATCGTACCTTTTGAAACTTCAAATAATGACATGAAGCCATTAAAGTTATGGTTTCATTTTCAGACAAAGCAGTGTGACTTCTCGGGTAAAACAAACATTTGCAGGAAAAGTACAAAATGGGTTCCAATTTGCAGCTAATGGATTTGGTCCCTAAAGACAGAGAAAAGACCAAACCCACAGAGGTGTCACTCATAGAGGCACCATTTGCACAAGCCACACAACTGCCAAGAAGATTTTAAAACCCACTGCAGCCCTAGCCGGTTTGGCTCAGTGGATAGAGCGTCCGCCTGCAGACTGAAGGGTCCCGGGTTCTATTCCAGTCAAGAGCACATGCCCTCCAAGGTACATGCCCTTGACCGGAATCGAACCTGAGACCCTTGAGTCCACAGGCTGACGCTCTATCTACTGAGCCAAACCGGTTAGGGCAATGAAAACATTTTAAAAACCCACTGCAAAGTTAGTGACAGTTGTTATGCTTGGAGCAAATTTATGAATTCCACCTGTTGGATGTTGCACACTACCCAAGGCAGACTGTGGAAATACCATCCATGTGCGAGCAGATAGCTGCTTTGCAGTGGGAGTGGCAGAAAGCCACACCAGCGTGCCGTGCGCATAGCCAGCCAGGAGAAAGTGGCTGACCGGGTACAGCCCGAGTCAGCAAGTAGAAATCTGGAAAAGCTTCGTGTTCCACGAGGCAGCATCCTTGGAGGACAGAATTCCTGGACAAGCTCCTCTGTAGAATTATGTGAATGTTGCAGGAGGTTTGCAAGCATTCAGTCTTTGCCCAGTTTTCATTGAACACTTGCTGTTGGGATCGAATGTTACACCTCGCAGACACCTTGAAGAGAAAGGTCGTCACCATAACATCCCTCTCACCGACGTGAAATACGAGTTGTGATTTTGAAAACAAACCCTTTTTTATTAAATAGTTGTGATTCATCTTCTTAAAAATCTCCCCTCCCCCATTGATGGTTCACATTACATTGTAGATTTTGAAAGTTTGAGAGACATTGCCAGATAGTTCCTTGGACTTTTAAATCCCAGAATAGTGTTGACATGAGATACATATATGTCTGGGACCTGTTCTTGGTCTCCAGTAACCAAATGTTTTCTTCTCTGAAAGTCTGGGCCTGAGCTTAATGATCTAAATCAGCGGTTCTCAACCTGTGGGTCGCGACCCCTTTGGCGGTCGAACGACCCTTTCACAGGGGTCGCCTAAGACCATCCTGCATATCAGATATTTACATTACGATTCATAACAGTAGCAACATTACAGTTATGAAGTGGCAACAAAATTAGTTTTATGGTTGGGCCACAACATGAGGGAACTGTATTTAAAGGGCCCGAAGGTTGAGAACCACTGATCTAAATGATTCTTTTCAACAATAAAAACCCAGGGTCTCTCTCCCTCCTCCCTTCCTTCCTCCCCCTCTGCCCCCCCAATGATTTTAAATACTTTTCTGGAGTTGCATGCACCATAACAGATAAAAATCCATGAAGACGTAACATTTAAATATTGGCTCTTACTTGTCCAAGTGTTAATTGCTTGTGTAGACTTTCTAATGCTTTAGCAAGTGAGTCATAGTGACTCACATCGACGAGCCTGCCACTCGTTAGCAAACCCTTCCAAAAGCTTTTTCCTCACCACCACCATTGTAGACTGGCTGGACGGGAGTAGTTATTTACTCTTTAAGAGTGGAGACTGGTT